CACACATACCTTCCTTGTGTGTGTGTGTGTGTGTGTGTGTGTGTGTGTGTGTGTGTGTGTGTGTGTGTGTGTGTGTGTGTGTGTGTGTGTGTGTGTGTTGGGGGGATGAAAGGGTGCATGCGTGTGTGTTGAGTGGGTATATATATGAGTGTGTGTGTTTGGGAGGGGGGGAATGACTGTTTCCTCTTGTCTCACTTTCAATTTAAGGAGGCTGTCTTTGTCCACCTTGTCTATTCCCCTCAGTATCTTGTATGTTGTTATCGTATCTCCTCTATTCCTTCTGTCTTCCAGGGCTGTGAGATCCAGTTCCTTCAGCCTATCCTCGTAACATAAACCTCTAAGCTCTGGTAATAATCTAATAGCAAACTTCTGATTTTTTTCGATTTTAGTTTTATGTTTTATAAAATACGGCTTCCAAGCATGTGCTGCATATTCCAGTACTGGTTTAACAAAAGCTCTGTAGATTGCTTTGAACGCGTCCTGTTTTAGGTTTGTAAACAGCGTTCTAATGTTTACCAGTGTCTCTTATGCTGCTGATGTTACCCTGTCTATGTGTGCCTCTGGTTTTAGGGAGGGAATTATATCCACTCTCATGTCTCTTTCTCTCTCAGATTCCTGCAATTGCCTTCCATGAATGGTGTTGACACCTTCTGGTCTTCTTTTTCCCCTTCCCCCCCATTTCCATTACCTTACACTTATTAGGATTAAACTCCAGCAACCATTTGTTTGTCCACTCCTGGAGTTTGTTAAGGTCCTTCAATAACATTGTCCAGTCCACCTCTTGATTTTTACATTCTTCATTATTTTGGCATCGTCCGCATCCATTGACCTGTACGAGCTCCCTAGGATAGTTCACTAACATCAATTAGGAGTGAGTAGTGGTCCCCAGGTCCCAGGAGTAGTGATCCTTAGTGTGTGTGTAGACAGGTATACCAAATGTCAAGAGACAGATTATTATTATTATTAACATCTTTATTGACAAAATTAATTACAATTTTGCCTAATCTGAGGATTTTGATAGGTCTTATTAAAGTGAGGATAATGCTAGTATTCACTGTCACGCAGGACAAAGGGTCATACATAAGACAATAGGTCTAAACTGTAGGCTGAAGCACATATATATCATTGTTACAATCAATGTTTTAATGTATGGATACGTGAAAACAACTTTCTATTGTGCACAGAGACAGAGAGATAAATGCAAGGTGTTAGAATACACACACGTGCGTAAGAGAGCAGCAGCAGCAGCAGCAGCAGACGTTATGAAAAGAAATATTGGAGAGGTGGGTGTGTTGTGGAGACGAGCGCCTGGGGAAGGTGGTGCTCCACGCAGACCCAAAAAAACACGTTCCAGAAATGCGAGGAATTTCGGGTTTCGTGGGTAATGATGTGTGAGTCTCCCGGGACGTGTGTGTGGAATTTCTCCCTTGCTTTATTCTCATTCAGTCTTAAGCATCTTTAATTGGTTTTGTCTTGTATTGATAATATTGGGCGTGACCAATTTCCAAAAAAACAAAAACAAAGCCGCTACCCATTATTGGTATTCTTATCTACCAAGTAACCATTACATGTCTTATATATATAATATCATTATTGTTATCGAAATGATGTTTTCCTCTCTATTTTTGTATTATGATTTCCGACTGTTTTAAAGTAGATATCTATTAATATTACAAATAATAACTTGCTTCTTGTTCACATTCTAACTAATTTGTCTAGGTTCATCTCTTATATTAGCATTTTAAGCTCAGTATCATTGGAACTCTCTCTCTCTTATATATATATATATATATATATATATATATATATATATATATATATATATATATATATATATATATATATATATATATATATATATATATAAATATATATATGCAGCAATGATCACAAAAACACTGATCCAAGTATGCAGAATAACCACATGTGAAAAATAGAAAATGCTTAACGCGTTTTCGGCTAATTCGCCTTCATCAGAGCAAAGTAGAATGAAGATAAGATTGCTGATCAGACCTTTATATCCGCCTGGGCAGATCACCTGACCACCAAAAATAAGTGGAGGAAAGGAATTATAAGAAAGAAGGATACTGCAGAAGGCCTATTGGCCCATACCAGGCAGCTCCTATTAATATCTCCAAGTGACATACGTGTTAAATGATTGCTATATTGTTTTGACGTGCTATATTGAGGCTTAAATAGGGATCCAACTTGTACATACCGGGGCTCACATTAAGGCTGTTTTTACAATGTTTGATCAGAGCAGACTCGATCACGTTTCGTTCAACAAAATCCTTACTTTTAACAATACATTTTGCCCCTGTGAAGTCGATAGAATGATTACATAAACTGGAATGTAAATACAATGCACTGGATTGCTGGGCTGTACGAATAGCATATGAATGCTGTTTTAAACGCGAGGAAAGGGATTTACCTGTCTGGCCGATGTAAACACATGCACACTCATTACAAGGGATGGAATACACACAACCTGCTACAGACGAGGGCGAGGGCTTAATATTAATCTAGTGTTCAAAAATGATAATACAGTTAAGTCCATGTTAATTAAAAACTCGCCCTCGTCTGTAGCAGGTTGTGTGTATTCCATCCCTTGTAATGAGTGTGCATGTGTTTACATCGGCCAGACAGGTAAATCCCTTTCCTCGCGTTTAAAACAGCATTCATATGCTATTCGTACAGCCCAGCAATCCAGTGCATTGTATTTACATTCCAGTTTATGTAATCATTCTATCGACTTCACAGGGGCAAAATGTATTGTTAAAAGTAAGGATTTTGTTGAACGAAACGTGATCGAGTCTGCTCTGATCAAACATTGTAAAAACAGCCTTAATGTGAGCCCCGGTATGTACAAGTTGGATCCCTATTTAAGCCTCAATATAGCACGTCAAAACAATATAGCAATCATTTAACACGTATGTCACTTGGAGATATTAATAGGAGCTGCCTGGTATGGGCCAATAGGCCTTCTGCAGTATCCTTCTTTCTTATAATTCCTTTCCTCCACTTATTTTTGGTGGTCAGGTGATCTGCCCTGGCGGATATAAAGGTCTGATCAGCAATCTTATCTTCATTCTACTTTGCTCTGATGAAGGCGAATTAGCCGAAAACGCGTTAAGCATTTTCTATTTTTCACATGTGGTTATTCTGCATAAATATATATATATATATATATATATATATATATATATATATATATATATATATATATATATATATATATATATATATATATATATATATATATATATATGCGAACAAGCCTGAATGGTCCCCAGGACAATATGCAACTGAAAACTCACACCCCAGAAGTGACTCGAACCCATACTCCCAGAAGCAACGCAACTGGTATGTACAAGACGCCTTAATCCACTTGACCATCACGACCGGACATAATGAGGTGATAGCCGAGGCTATTTGAACCACCCCACCGCCGGCACTCGGATAGTAATCTTGGGCATAGCATTTTACCAAATCACCTCATTCTTTGGGGCACACGTGAGGAACACAAATGCGAACAAGCCTGAATGGTCCCCAGGACAATATGCAACTGAAAACTCACACCCCAGAAGTGACTCGAACCCATACTCCCAGAAGCAACGCAACTGGTATGTACAAGACGCCTTAATCCACTTGACCATCACGACCGGACATAATGAGGTGATAGCCGAGGCTATTTGAACCACCCCACCGCCGGCACTCGGATAGTAATCTTGGGCATAGCATTTTACCAAATCACCTCATTCTTTGGGGCACACGTGAGGAACACAAATGCGAACAAGCCTGAATGGTCCCCAGGACAATATGCAACTGAAAACTCACACCCCAGAAGTGACTCGAACCCATACTCCCAGAAGCAACGCAACTGGTATGTACAAGACGCCTTAATCCACTTGACCATCACGACCGGACATAATGAGGTGATAGCCGAGGCTATTTGAACCACCCCACCGCCGGCACTCGGATAGTAATCTTGGGCATAGCATTTTACCAAATCACCTCATTCTTTGGGGCACACGTGAGGAACACAAATGCGAACAAGCCTGAATGGTCCCCAGGACAATATGCAACTGAAAACTCACACCCCAGAAGTGACTCGAACCCATACTCCCAGAAGCAACGCAACTGGTATGTACAAGACGCCTTAATCCACTTGACCATCACGACCGGACATAATGAGGTGATAGCCGAGGCTATTTGAACCACCCCACCGCCGGCACTCGGATAGTAATCTTGGGCATTATCATTATGTCCGGTCGTGATGGTCAAGTGGATTAAGGCGTCTTGTACATACCAGTTGCGTTGCTTCTGGGAGTATGGGTTCGAGTCACTTCTGGGGTGGGAGTTTTCAGTTATATATATATATATATATATATATATATATATATATATATATATATATATATATATATATATATATATATATATATATATATATGCAGAATAACCACATATGAAAAATAGAAACTGCTTAACGCGTTTTCGGCTAATTCGCCTTCATCAGAGCAAAGTAGAATCACTGAATCACAAAGTAGAATCAATCACAATTTGATTCTACTTTGCTCTGATGAAGGCGAATTAGCCGAAAACGCGTTAAGCAGTTTCTATTTTTCATATGTGGTTATTCTGCATACTTGGATCAGTGTTTTTGTGATCATTGTTGCATATATATATATATATATATATATATATATATATATATATATATATATATATATATATATAAAATCATTCACCGTGGGCTATAGGAGGCTCGAACATCCGTCCTGTGACATGAGAGGCGAATGCTTTACCGACTGTACCAGTTAAGCCTTAAAAGAGAAGGTTCCCAAGGCAACTAACCGCTACCCAGATGGGAATAGCCAATCTCCGTGGTTGCCACTGAAGCACAGAAGGATTGGGAGATACCCCACACTGTATCATATAAACTGTATACCACACTACCGTGGATGTAACATCCACATTGTGGATGTAACATCCATATTATGGATGTACAAGTGGCCAAGCAGCGAGGCAGGGTTCCACTATATGGTTTAAGTGGATACCATCAGAGCTCAGCAGTGAGGCAGGGTTCCACATATGGTTTAAGTGGATACCATCAGAGCTCAAAAGTGAGGCAGGGTTCCACATATGGTTTAAGTGGACACCATCAGAGCTCAGCAGTGAGGCAGGGTTCCACATATGGTTTAAGTGGACACCATCAGAGCTCAGCAGTGAGGCAGGGTTCCACATATGGTTTGAGTGGATACCATCAGAGCTTAGCAGTGAGGCAGGGTTCCACATATGGTTTAAGTGGATACCATCAGAGCTCAAAAGTGAGGCAGGGTTCCACATATGGTTTAAGTGGACACCATCAGAGCTCAGCAGTGAGGCAGGGTTCCACATATGGTTTAAGTGGACACCATCAGAGCTCAGCAGTGAGGCAGGGTTCCACATATGGTTTGAGTGGATACCATCAGAGCTTAGCAGTGAGGCAGGGTTCCACATATGGTTTAAGTGGATACCATCAGAGCTCAAAAGTGAGGCAGGGTTCCACATATGGTTTAAGTGGACACCATCAGAGCTCAGCAGTGAGGCAGGGTTCCACATATGGTTTAAGTGGACACCATCAGAGCTCAGCAGTGAGGCAGGGTTCCACATATGGTTTAAGTGGATACCATCAGAGCTCAGCAGTGAGGCAGGGTTCCACATATGGTTTAAGTGGATACCATCAGAGCTCAGCAGTGAGGCAGGGTTCCACATATGGTTTAAGTGGATACCATCAGAGCTCAGCAGTGAGGCAGGGTTCCACATATGGTTTAAGTGGATACCATCAGAGCTCAGCAGTGAGGCAGGGTTCCACTATATGGTTTGAGTGGATACCATCAGAGCTCAGCAGTGAGGCAGGGTTCCACATATGGTTTAAGTGGATACCATCAGAGCTCAGCAGTGAGGCAGGGTTCCACATATGGTTTGAGTGGACACCATCAAAGCTCATCAGCGAGGCAGTGTACCATCACATGGTACAGATGAGTGAGCTGCTCGATGATACGACACTCAAATATATATTCAATTTACTAATTAAATATTCTACACCCAGCTAATTTTACCTATGATTTGACTGTCAGTGTCCCATCAACTAGAAAATAATTGGAAAAAAAATAGGATTGAATGCAAGGCATGAAAGGTAACATTTGACTTAATTTTATTATGAATGTATGAACTGGAGTTTTGTATGATTATCTCTGAAAGTGATTCATAGATTATCTTTTAAGACGAATGTGGCATGACTTCCATCACAAGAAGAGAATCAAAACAATCTAATTTCACTCTAATGTCACACACTATAACTATCACAACACAAAAAAAAAAAGATGGAGAATGATTAACTATGGTGTTTTGGTTGTAAAAGGTTATATGGCCATATTACCATAAAATACAACGAAGCTCCCATAACAACACTTGTATGGCTTGACCATATATTCGAAATTCAACCATAGTGCCATATAATAAGTTAGTTATTAGAATAGTTAAAACAGGTCTATTAACCAGTAGGAACCACTAACCCATGGGTCGAGACCAAGTCAGCCTCACTCGGCCAGTAGGAACCACTAACCCATGGGTCGAGACGAAGTCAGCATCACTCGGCCAGTAGGAACCACTAACCCATGGGTCGAGACCAAGTCAGCATCACTCGGCCAGTAGGAACCACTAACCCATGGGTCGAGACCAAGTCAGCATCACTCGGCCAGTAGGAACCACTAACCCATGGGTCGAGACCAAGTCAGCATCACTCGGCCAGTAGGAACCACTAACCCATGGGTCGAGACCAAGTCAGCATCACTCGGCCAGTAGGAACCACTAACCCATGGGTCGAGACCAAGTCAGCATCACTCGGCCAGTAGGAACCACTAACCCATGGGTCGAGACCAAGTCAGCCTCACCCGGCCAGTAGGAACCACTAACCCATGGGTCGAGACCAAGTCAGCATCACTCGGCCAGTAGGTACCACTAATCCATGGGTCGAGACCAGGTCAGCACCACTCTGGCCGGGAACAGCCGCCTGGTGATCCACAGGTCAGCGTAAGGGCCCACAACTCCTGAGAATGGCAGCAGTCTCCTTCCTCTACTGCCTTACGAGGTCAAGTTCTTTGTTTTCTAAAGGAAATGTACGGTAGGTGGCCAGGTGTGGCTGAGGCAGCCCAGAGTACTGAACTGTGATGCCTTTTACTTGATATTTGTTTTAAGAACAGAACACGAGAACATAACATAAAAAAACTGAGAACATAAGAACACGAGAATAGAGGACTACAAAAAGCCTATTCAATCCCCCATCTATTACGTTATGTTGTAATTTGATCTATTTTTATCGGTAATTCGTTCCATTTAACCCAGTAATTTAGCAAGTTTCATTGTAAACCCATATTTATAAAATTTAATCAGATTGGTGCCATTTATGTAGGTCTCTAACTTGAATATGAATGTGTTGTAATTTGGGAAGCTGCTAAATCATTCATGAATATTATTTTTAAAATCAAGAAAAGTGAAATTTCAGAGTTGGACCAGAAAGATAAAAGTCTGTGCTAATTATATGTAATTTTTAACAGTTAATTGACACAGAAATGACGGGTCTAGATTACCCATCACCAACTGGTCCTGAGTATACCCCCATCACCCACTAATTTTGTTTTCAGAAGTTTCTCAACTATTTACATTCATTTTGATAAATGAACCAATTCAATGACCCGTCAATAATTAAACATCATAATTATTTTCCGTATTTCAGAAATACATTATCATAATATCTAGCCTATAATCGCAATGATAATTTTTTCCACGTCACTGAAGATCCTTTGAGGTTTAAAAGCTATAATTAAACTCTTTTGGCCACTTACCTTTAGCAATGAGTATAATGTAAATTTTAGTAAAATACTATTGTGTGTTATTAGCTATAGGGTATATATATACATATGTACTAGATTTTTGCACAGGTGAAGTTGCGGTATATTATGGTCCCAAGCCTATTGCCAAAATGCATTCCATATTTTTTTGCGTATTTCTGGCGGCAAGAGGCTAGCCACAGCTGTGTATGTGCGAAGGGAACATCTGGCTGATTGTCGTATACAGGACCTTCTGTTTGATTCATTATTCCTCATTATCCTTATATATAAAAACTTCAAATTTCACTTTAAAATAAAAATATTTTCCAGATGACACAAGTCAGCTAGGCTTCGAGCTGGGAGAGCGCTCGAACTAAATGCTCAAGTTAATTGAGAGTTTGTTGAGCTAGCGTAGAGTCGCCTTTCTAATGTCCGGATATAAACGCATCGCATAAGCAGAGTCTACGAGCGGTTGTGTGTACTGGAGCCAGGCTGGAGAGGCTTAAGACCTAAGAACCTCCGTCCTAAGATTACTTGTGGTAAAGGTCACGACTGGCTGAGGCAGGATGGAGTGCTTCGTAAGCTAAAGTGGTTCGTAGAGTGCCAAGATTAATGTTGCGCTTCTTACCAACGTTATTACATGTTAATATATGACATGACCTCAAGTCGACTTGCCAGCTCTTGAAATTTATGGTGCAAGAATGATGAAGGAGCTTAATATAGAGCCTCATTGTTTCCCCCTAGAGTGGAATATGAGCTCTATGGCCGACCTCTTAGAGCCTCCCACTAACAGTGTTGCTCTAGGCTTATCATTTTCTTGTCCCCACTCATGTTTAAGTCGCTAGAATGCTCTACTCAATGAAAAATTGAATTTCTGCCTTTATTAACAAACTGTCCTTTAAGATATTAGCAATCTATATAATACTATAAGAAAGAAAAGTATATACTATTTTTTTGGGTTTCATCTGTTAGAGATGATTGATCATTCCAGGCAGAGTGAGAGTGTGAATATCTCATCAGGGTGGTGGAGTGAGAGACATTGAATATCTCATCACCAGTGCGGATGACTCTCGCTTTCAAGAATATCAAAGAGACAGTCACTTGGGCTGTAGGAGACTCGAACTCTGGACCCCACGCCTGTGAGGCCCAACCTCTATCAATCTATCGACCGAAGCTCTATGTCTCTATTTTAGAGACAGTCATGTCAGCATCCAGTGATAGAGGTGGGAATCGGAACTTTACTGAATGGCCTATTGGTCGGCCAGGAGTCGTAGCTGGCGTTACGTTCAGTGGACGACCTTCCTGTATGGTCTCCACACTGCCAGAGGTCGTTGTATGGTCGCCTTGCAAGAGTAAACACATTGATCACTACGTCTCCCTGGATATTAACATGAGAAAACAAAGGAAAATTCATTATTTTGGAGATTGTCAATGCAGTATCAGGAATGGACGGAAAAAGTTTTTGTGAATACGTAGTGCACAATATAGAAGCCTATTATAAGTTTGTAAAGGGATCGAAAGATGGATACCAGGTTCTAAGGGGGATCGATAGACAGATATCAGGGTGTAAGGTGTTCTATAGATAAATTACAGTATTTGTAATTGACGAGATAATATATATTTTGATAATTAGTTGATTATGGGCCCCACACACCTGTCGGGGGTGAGAGACAGAAGGGTTGCAGTCATATAAGGGGTTCAGGCTTGGAACCCACTGTGATCTTGAAGGCTAAGCAATTTACAATTGTGGCTAAACAGTTGTATATCATTTTCTATTTGCCTATCATGCACTGAGCGACGGTGGAAAGGTTACAGTGACATGCATACATTGCTCACAGTAGGTAGGCTTAGGGTTCACCGTTTAGGTTTTCTGGTAGTATAACATTCTGAATTAAATATGATTTTTTTAAATATTTAAATTCGTGATTTTGTTTTCTTTCAAGAATTTAAATATTTATTTTTCTGAGAAAACCAAACAAAATTGTCCTTTTGAAATTGGCAAATTAATAAATCTTCCGAGGATATGCAATATATATATATATATATATATATATATATATATATATATATATATATATATATATATATATATATATATATATATATATATATGCGGAAAATCCACAGAGAAATATGAAATGAGGTGTTCATTTCATATTTCTCTGTGGATTTTCCGCATAAAATGATCAGTGTTTTGTGATCGTCAATTGCATATATATATATATATAATATATGAAGTGAGGTCTAGCTCTTGTACCCCGCCTCCTGGTCTTGTTGTTCCCGCTGTCTTACAGTTGAACTATTCTGACGTTCAAATTCTTGGTCGAGTCTGACCTTAAAGCTGTGGTAGTCGAACCAGCGAAGCGAATGACAGAACTCTACCGTCCTAACTATACGAGCTCCCACTATAAGAGAGGGTCCTAGAGACACCACTGGTATACAAGTGGTACTTTCAATCTCACCTGGAGTGTCCCTTGAGTCTGGAGGTATTAGGGGTGCCAGCCATATCAACTGCAAACCCTAATAGTCAGGTCGATCTTGAGTTTATAATTGATATGATTGGTATGTGGATCACCCAATACCCGCAGAATCAAGCGACACCTCGAGCAGTGCCACAATCGTCGTGTGGGGGTCTGATTGTGGCCCCTGGCACGCTGTTTTCTGTTGAAATCTGGCGAAACCAACCAGCCTATGTCTGTTCCATACCTCAGACCATTCCCTCTGTCAAGTTACGTGAGACTAGCCCCAACCGTGTGGGCTCCAACTTTAAGCAAACAGACTCAGAAATTCTCTCTTATACTCTCTCTCTCTCTCTCTCTCTCTCTCTCTCTCTCTCTCTCTCTCTCTCTCTCTCTCTCTCTCTCTATATATATATATATATATATATATATATATATATATATACACACACTCTCACACACACACACACACACACATATATATATATATATATATATATATATATATATATATATATATATATATATATATATATATATATATATATATATATACCTTTAGCGATATATCTGAAAATGGATGGAGTCAGGTGTGTAGTACACACGGTAATCCCTCTCCTTGTGCTCTCACCCCCACTATACACAGGACAGGAACAATATACACTCAATGTTAACACAGAACAAAGATCCAAACATATGTTCCAGTTATTGCAGAACAGTGAAGTTGGTCGCTAGAAAATTAAAAAACAAAAAATATCTCCAGAACTATTATTAATTTCAGAACATTCTCTATATATTTTCTAATTTAATATTCTCAACACGGGCATATAACCGAGAGGTCTACCCCTGGTTTTCAATGCATAAACACACAGAATTTACTTTTGTTCCTGACTTTGTCCAGGACTATAAAGTATATATGCTGGTTGGTCAGTGGGCATTCCCTTTTTGGCTTTACTCTTCCAGAAGTTGATAGACTTAAAGCCAACGCCAAGCCCCCCACCCCCCAAAAAAAAAATCTTCATATTAAATAATAATTTTATCGCACGTGTCCCTTTTCTTAAATCAAGCGCATACGATTTGAGAGAAAAGTTATTGTCAATTATATACTCGCCAGGGATAGGGCGACGGTCATGTTTAAATATGGAAAAGATCTATATAATAAAAACAGAACGAATAAATGAAATATAATATGTGGAAATGGTGGTGAGTTCGTACTATCGAACACAGAATCCCACCTCTTCCACGTGAGAGAGAGAGAGAGAGAGAGAGAGAGAGAGAGAGAGAGAGAGAGAGAGAGAGAGAGAGAGAGAGAGAGAGAGAGAGAGAGAGAGAGAGAGAGAGAGAGAGAGAGAGAGAGAGAGAGAGAGAGAGAGAGAGAGAGAGAGAGAGAGAGAGAGAGAGAGAGAGAGAGAGAGAGAGAAGACTCTCACCTCTCTCACTACACCGGCCAAACATTACATACCTCTCTGTACGGCGATAAAGAACTTGAGGAATTTAGACATACGATATTCCGGTCCGTTTAATCCACTATAGCCGAATAAAATCGTTCGGAATGTCACCAATTACTATCGGATTGCTTCAATAACAATCAGGCATGTTTTTGAAGTGGCTGCAGTTTTAGGGCGAATAGACATATTCGCCAAGAAAGAAAGAATATTGAGTTTTAATTGTATTTATGAGTAAGACAAATGTATCAGTAGTGACGTCAGAGTTTTGTACTTTTGTAAACGGTATTTGAACAACTGAAATTTGAACAGCTGAATGTTGAGCAACGGAAATTTGAACCGCTGATATTTGAACAGTTGAACAGTGTGGTAGATTATTATTTGTTGATGGGGTTGATGGGGGAGGGATACAGGCATTGCCCTGGTCTGTTTGTCTGTATCCCATCCGCCCATCTATCTATCTATTCATCTATTCATCCATACACTCATGTTTCCATCTTTATACCTGTCTATCTATTCATATAGATATTGAGCTTACTTTTGAGCTCTTCTCAGAGCTCGAAAGTAACGTCCTGCGTCAGTCAAGTTCCTGCAGGTCAGTAACGAGGAACACCAGCACAGCCCCAGCTGCTCACTACCAACTGTGTAGAACAACGACACTTATTTCCCTCTCTCAAGGTATACTTAATAATAAACTAATAAACACATAGTGACATCAAAAATAGTTGCATGGCTAGTCCGCGATCAAGCAGACCCAGGTAAACAAGTCTTCACTAGAAACTCAGTTTTCGAGGGTCATGTCATGGAGCGGATGGGTGACCTCCCGTGCTCGCTGGGTGGGGGAGGGTACAGGTACATCACTCGTCAATTGGTCAGGTCACCAATCGCCGTAGACCTC